CCATCCGGGATGTCAGAATCCGCGGCCCCGGCCGGCAGCCCCCAAAGCCCCCTCCTTGGCGGCGCGCGGGGTGGGCCTCCCGGCGGCTTCCCTCCTCCTGCCTCGGTTTCTGCGCCCTCCCAGGAGGGCACCCAGGTCCCAGGAGGCCTGGCACGGGGTGACAGACTGGGTGCTAGCGCCGCCCCTCGGCCCCTCCTTTCCCCTGGGGTTTTCCTTTTAAACTCCTCACACGTTCTTCCCCGTCTCTCACTGAAAAGAACAAAAGCCCTAAATGGCTACAGCCGTGACCTCTGGCGTCTCCCGCAATCCTTCACTTGAGCTGCAGGAGAGCCTTCATCCTGACTCCTGAGGCCGCGGGGCCCCGGGAGAGCAGTTTAGACCCCAGGCTTCCCTCTCCGTGCCCTCCAGGCCGGGCAGTCCTACTCCCCCTTGGGGAGCAGCTGAAAACCTGTGGCTCCTCGCTAATGACATGGAGGTCGTGGGCAGACCCTGGTGGGGGAGCACCCAGCAGAGGCCACCTAAGGAGCTGATGGACATGGCCTGCCAGGGCTTTGCCTGTGTGCAGCCCGGAGTGGGGGTTCCTTGTTAAAGATTATTGCCAGGCTCTGTGGTTCATGCCTGTAATCCTAGCACTGTGGGAGACCAGGCAAGAGGATCACTTGAGGCTAGAAGTTTGAGAATAGCCTGGGCCACACAGCAAGATCCCATCTCTACCAACCCCTCCCCCCAAAACAAAACATTAAAAAAAAATAGCCGGGCATGGTAGTGCAGTCCTATAGTTCTGTAGTTCCAGCTACTCAGGAGGCTGAGGCTGGAGGATCCCTTGAGCTCCAGAGTTCAAGGTTGCAGTATGCAAGGTGACACCACTGACTCTAGCCTGGGTGACAGAGCAAGACCCCAGCTCTTAGACAAGACAAAAGATGATTGTTGCAAGGGACTCCATCCACGCATCTCCCAAACAGGTGGAGTGGTGTCTGGGCGGGGCTGTGAATGTGTAGTGTCCTTCCTTCCCTCCTGGCCCAGGACACTCCTCCCCGGGGCAGTGCCACCAGCTGCCAGAAATGCTGGGGGTGTTGGGTGGCCTGCCCAGCCTTATGCTGACTCTCCTTACAGATGGGGCTGGGGAGGACCCAGCACATGGTTGCCTTGTTCCCGGAGTCACCAGCACCTACAGACGGATCCCGGACACTGCTCATGGGTGCTCCTCCCACTCCTGGAAGGAAGGTGGTGAGCTGAGAGGTGTCCAGAGGCAGGTGCCACTTCTCAAACTGGCCTCCCAGGACTCAGGAGTGGAGATGGCAGCCGGGGACAGCCCCCTGGCCACCTTACCAGGCCTTTCTCAGGACTCTCTGGACTTTGAGCCCACGGGGAGCTCTGAGCCCCCCGTCCAGCTAGGCCGACTCCTGGCCAGCCAGAAGCTGGAGCAGGCGCTGGAGCGGTCCCGCCGGCTCCCGGTGGCCCCCGCCAGCTTTTCAGGTCGACACCAGCCCGAGTGTGATGTGCCTCTTTTTGGAGCCAGGGCACAAGAGTCCGTGGCGGCAGACAGTGACCTGGTGGCTGGCCTGGAAGAAGTGGAGATGGTGAGTGCTGACTCCCAGGCTAGGTAAAGAGGAGGGATGGAGACAGCCAGCCCACTCTCCCCAGTTCTCCCTGGAGCGCTCTCAGGGTGGGGCCCTCCTTGGCCCTAATTGATGGGTTGTGTCATGGCTTCTGGTGTCACCCTGCTCCCAGCCACCGCCACGGGGGAGGTGGGCAGCTGTGGTCCTGCCTGGTGCCATGCTTGGCCTCACTGGGCTTTGGGGAGCCAGCCAGGTGTGTGTCCCTCCTCTGCCTGCCTGCCTGCTCTGCCCCATCTGCTGGCTGAGCCCAGCCCGGCTGTCTGGGGTGGCTGGGAGTCTGGTTGGGCTCGGAAGCCTCCCCTACCTCTCTGTGTCCTGCAGGCTCGGGGCTTGGGTCCTGGAGCCTGGACCTGCCTCCCCGGGCAGGGTCTTCGCTACCTGGAGCACCTGTGCTTGGTGCTGGAGCAGATGGCGAGGCTCCAGCAGCTCTACCTACAGCTGCAGACCCAGAGGCCCCCTGGGGTGAGTGGGGGGATGGTAAGGCCGTTGTGGGGGGAGGCAGAGGAGGGGTGGGACCCCTGGAGTGGAACCGGGACTGCCTTCAGAACAGCCTCAGCCCTCTGGTCGGGTCCTGATTGCCCAGTGTTTCCTGTGTGCAGGATCCTGACGAGGTGGAGTCAGCCCCGGCCCCAGGAAATGGGGTACGGGGGCCATGGGAGCTGCTAAACCAGACAGAGGAGACAGGTGAGGGTAACTGTGTCTCCCTGTCGTTGTGCCTTACCTGCCTCATCTCCCTGCCCGGGAGACTCCCTGAGCTGTACCTTGATGGCGTGGCACCCTGGGTAACCTGACTCTCTTTCTGAAGGGGCAAAGGCAGCTTCACTCCCAAAGGTGGGTGTGCCCACTGCCAACCCTCCCAGGCTGCCAGAGACCCCGGTGGAGCCAACTCGTGCTTCGCCATCCTCCCAGGAACACACGGTAGGGGCTGGGTATGTGTAGCAAGATGGTGGGCTGGGTGGGGTAGGGAGTGGAGGGGAGGTGGGTGGAAACCCCAGGAAAATGACAAGGTTGATTGCTTTGGAGTGGGTGACTTGTCCTGGCTGTGGTGACAGCTGTCTCTGGGAGCTTGGCTGGGGGTATGAGTGTGGGGAGGGCTCTGTGGTGACCCCTCATTCTCTGCTCAGCGGGATCTTTCCCACTGGGACAAGGTCAAGGTCCTGCTCAACCGGATCCGCTGGAAAAGCCATCAATACTCTGAACACCCTGCCCCTCCTGATGGTTCTGGCCCCAGGTGAGTCTTATGCCCCAACTAGGGTAAGGCAGGGAGAGGAGGCTGATGACCTAGGATGCTGAGATTGTCCCTCCTGTTGTCATGTTTACCCCTATGAAATTTGAGAGACATAGATAATCTTGGAGGCATGCTGGAGAAACAGAAGGTAGTTAAAACATCCCATTTACAGATTAAGAGGATGGCCTCTGGATGGGGCTGGGGCTTGTTGCTTTCCCAAAGCCATGCAGTGAGCCAGTAACAGAGCCAGAACCAGAAGATGGGAAGTCACTTACCTCACCTCAGCAAGTTCTCACCCATTGATTCTGAAATTGAGGCTGTCTCAATTGTTACCTTTGTTTAAAAAAGTAAAAAAAAAAATTTAAATTTCTTTTTTTTAATAGCAAAGGGGGGGTCTCACTATGTTGCCCAGGCTGGTCTTGAACTCCTGGCCTCAAGGGACCCTCCCTTCTCAGCCTCCCAAAGTGCTGGGATTACAGGTGTGAGCCACCATACCCAGCCTTGTTTCCTCCTTTTAGCCTAATGTCTCCTTTTCTTTTCCACAGGGTCGAGTCCAGGGACTTCCCTGAAAGGCCTCTGTGCCGCCCCCACCGGAAGACCTTTATGCCATCATTAGTGGTTAAGAAGCAACGAACAAAAAACCTTTCTGTATGCTGAGTCCGCTTGGTGCACCTGGCGACCCTGGGTGGAGGGGACTTACCGTGAAGTCTTCCTCATCCTTTGCCCCATTGCTTCATCTCTGCACCGCCAGGAAAAGCTGCTGACTCTTGTCCTCCTCTCTAAGGCGAGGACTGACTCTTGTTCCTCCAAGCAGCCCGGCAGAAGAGCCCTGGCTCCCTGAGAGGGCCCTAAGAGGTGGCAGTTCCACGGCCCCTCCTCCTTGCCAGAAATCCCTGGGCTTTAGACAATGTGAACTAACTTATTTATCAGGTGTCCATGGATTGTATTTGGCATGGGGATTTGTCTGGGCCCAGCATGTTGCAGATGTGTATTTACACACAATGATACATGTATCTCTGTGGGATGGTCAGTGGTGTGCACTTGCTGGATCCAACCGGCTCTTCTGGAATCATGCAGCCAAAGTGTTGGTTTTCTCGATGAGGTAACTGTGGAGGGATGGAACTGGCCTTTGCTCCATGTTGGGCAGTTACTGAGCTTTCCTCCTCATAGCTACACCAGTAGCCCTGAGACAGAGAATGGGGCGGCCCTGCCTGCCTCTGTATGGAGTCTTGTCCCTGGAGCAGAGCCCCTGAAGACCGTACCAGGAATTGGGAAGATCAGCGATGACATAAGGAATAGCAGAATAACCTTCACAGTTGACTCTCAGGCTGCTCCACTCCATCCTAGCTTTTACGCATCCTAACTGAAACCAGGAGCCCATACTAGTTTTTTGACCCTTACTAAGTCAACGTTTCTGAGCCACAGCCTTCCACTCGGAATAATGATGCCTGCCCTACCTACCTCACAGACTTGTTATGAGGAAAATGCGAGATTAAACTGCCTCAAAGTGCTTTGTGAATGTTAAGTGAATAGGGGAGCGTGTGGGTGCTGGAGGGGGGCTAGGCTGCAGGGGTGATGGGGAGGTCAGAGGACAAGGAGGGACTGAGGTTGACTGCTAACAGGGACTAAAACGGCCAGTCTCCTGGCAAGATTTTGAGCAAGTCGCTTCGTCGAGGTCTCTTAGGTTTCATATTTGAGAATTAGGGCACTGATTCCTGACCTGCTTACCCACAGGGCCGTTGTGGGGTGTGGTCAATGGAAGGGCAGTGCTAGGGATGGGGGCCATTGGCTTGAGTCAGACACGGAATGTCTCCTAGAAATAGCCACACATCAGGCATCCTCCTCCTCTAGTCAGGAGGGGCTGGTTCTCTTGCTGCCGTAGTCTCTGGGGCTGCCAAAGGGAGGCGGGAGTGGTAGGCGGTAGGTGGTAGGTGCTCCCTGGTGTTTGGTGGAGAAGGGGAGCGAGGGTTCCCTGCTCCCGCTGCCCTTGGACCAGGAACGAATACTCCGAAGCCTCTTTTTCTAGTGGGACACTTAAGCGAGGACACCAATGAGGCGCGGCTTCCTAACATGCATCCGATTCGGGAGGCTCACTTCCGTTCCCCAGTTGCAGCGGGATGGCAGGTCGGCGTGGGGGAAGGGAGAGGTCGGTGGAGACGAGGGAGGGACCATATCCGGGAGAGTGGCAGCTTCCGACCAGTGGTCGCGCTTCCGGAGAGGCGCTTCCGGTGGCGGCGGCAGCAACGACTGTGGTGGTTCCGGGTGCCTTTGTCCCCCCGGTGTCGCGGCCCTGGCCCGCAGGTGGGTTGGGGGACTCCCCGCCGCCCCCTTCCCCTTCGTCCCTTCCCCGGCCGAGAGGCTGTGAGGGCCCGGCGGCGGGGATGTGCAGGGCGCGGAAGGGGCCGAGCCCCCCCTTCGGACTGCAAGTCTCGTCTCCCTGGCAACGGCCTCGGCCCTGGGGGCGGGAGGAGGAGAGGCCGCGCGCGTC